TTCCCTTTCCGGGAGCACGAGCGTATGGACATTGCCAAGGTGCACCTCTCTCACGCAGAGGGAACAGGAGGGAGGAGGGCAGGCGGGTGAGAGAAGTCAGATGTGGTTGGAAGGGCAGAAGCAGGAGTGGCTATTCAGTCTAGAGCGGTGCTTCTCAAACTCTCTCTCGTGCCACTCAAAATGCAGGCTCGTAGACATCACCTGGGGCTGTTAGAAATGCACCATCTCAGGCCCACCCACCCAGACCTGCTTATTCAGAGTCTGCACTTTAACGTGAATTACCGTTAAAGAAGTTTAGGACGTTTAGGAAGTACCTCTCTAGACCAGTGGGCCTCAGCCTAGGCTGCGCATTGGAATTACCTGGAGAGGTTTAAAACTGAATGACTGTGTTTTGCTTCTATTGTTTCTGACATAATTGGTCTGGTGCTAAAAGCTTCCTGGGTGATTTCAATGTGAAGCCAGGTGTGAGAGCCACTATCCAGAGAAGAGAGGACTCAAAGAAGGGGCCCTAGAATATGCTCAAAGTTCAGCAGGGCTGTTATGGAAAAGTGGTAGCCAACTGCCCCGTGGCCCTTAAGGGTAGGACAAGGACCAGGAGGAAAATCCCAGGAACTGCCCAAAGATGGAGCGGGTTGTAGCTCCCTTACTAGAGATGGCCAAGCAGAGATCAATGATCACTCAGACAGAATGCGGCAGGAGGGGTTGTATCAGAAAGGCGTGCTCGAGTGGATCTTGAGGTCCCTACCCTTCCCTGCTGAGTGGCTAGGAGAGTTCGTAGGTGGGCAGGAGGCCAAGGCCTGAGCTGGGCAGTGCAGTGTTGGGGACTGACCACCCCCCACCAACCCTCTCTCCTACGTAGGGACAGTGGCTTCTCCAGCCAGGGCGTGGACACCTATGTGGAGATGAGGCCTGTCTCCACTTCCTCTTCAAACAACTCTTTCTCTGAGCAAGGTGAGGAGGTCCTAGGGCCAAGGGAGAGGAGAAGGGCTTTGGGGATGCTGGGGCCAGGGAGGGGCAGGGAAAGGCAGGGCTGCCCTGACACCTCTCCGCACCCTAGACCTGGACAAGGAGGACGGACGGCCACTGGAGCTCAGAGACCTGCTCCACTTCTCCAGCCAAGTGGCCCAGGGCATGGCCTTCCTCGCTTCTAAGAATGTGAGTGGGAGCCAGTCCCAGCCTGTGGCTGCCCAGGTCTCTGGTAGGGGAGGCTGGAGGAGTGAGGATGACGGGGAGGAAAAGGGAGTGTGTGAGGGGGCAGGGGAGGACCGAGTGCAAGAGAGCAAGTGGGCAGCAGCCTTGAAGGGCTTCAGGGGCGAGTGGGAGAAAGCTGTGCCCAGGGCGCAGCCTTCAGGATAGTGGCACCCCCACCCCGGGTGCCCGTGTCCCCGGTGTGCTGATGGCTGAGAAGGTACCAGCTCCAAGAACAGGCCTTATTCATTTGTATTTCCACTGAACAGTGTGAAAGAGAACAGTCGTCTCCCCTCATGGGGCAGCCTGGTGGGGATGATAGAGCCTTCCTCATAGAGTGTGAGGATGTCAGACAACTATGAAATACCCTCAGCCCAGAAATAAGTGTCCAGGGAATGGCAGCTCTTGCTACCATCCCTAGAACAGACTTGGGAGCCAACCATTTGACTGTTGGCTCTGCCACTTGCTGTGTGACTGTGAGCAACTATTTAAATTTTCGGAGGCTCCATTTCCATACCTATAAAAATGGGCATGACCACAGAATTGTTCGAGGGTGAAACAAAGTTACGCTGTGTGTAAATGCTTCAGGAAGCGCCAGGCACAATAAGGCCCAGAGCTAGCAGCTGCTGTCGGTGCGGACCAGAGACCGCTCGCAGCACGAGCGCTCACTATCTCTGGAGCCTGAGCAGACTCCCGGGCAAAGGGCTAGAAGGGCCACAGCAGCTCAGGGCGATGGGGGTTTGTAAGCATTAAGTTGTCAGACCACACTACATTTTCTCAGACCCTGGGCCCTGGTAGACGTATGGACAGGAGCTCATGGTGAAGGACCAAAACTGCTGGCCACTCCTCAGTAGGGATCCCGAGGCCTCCTGGGACCCTCCCTGCTCCTCCTCGCCTCGGGCTCAGGTAGAGCAGAGGCCGAGACTAACCCTGCAGAGCTTTCTCTTAGTGCATCCACCGGGACGTGGCAGCCCGCAACGTGCTGTTGACCAATGGGCGTGTGGCCAAGATTGGGGACTTTGGGCTGGCTAGGGACATCATGAACGACTCCAACTACATCGTCAAGGGCAATGTGAGTGCTGACAGGGAATGGACCAGGCTGGGGAGGGGGCGGAGTCAAGGCCCAAAGTGACTGAGGACCCCCGTGCTAGGCCCGCCTGCCTGTGAAGTGGATGGCCCCAGAGAGCATCTTCGACTGTGTCTACACGGTGCAGAGCGACGTCTGGTCCTACGGCATCCTCCTCTGGGAGATCTTCTCACTTGGTGAGACACTGGGCCCAGTCCAGGGCTGACTCCTCTTACCCTACTGGTGTCTTGTACCTCACAGAGGAACCCGGTCAAGGGTGCTCCAGTGCCCAGGACAGAGCAAGGCGTGCTGGGAGTGAAGGGATGGGCAAGGGTTCTCAAAACTCAGCGCTGCAGCTCCCACGTGGGCTGGGCAGGCCCCCTCTCCCCACACGCATTCCTCTCTGGGCCCTTTCCTCAGTTGTCTGAGCTTGTGCAGTTGCTGCTACCCGAAACGCTGTTACGCTCCTTTGTCTGAAACCTACCGATCATTGAAGATGCGGCTTAAGTTACCTACCAGCTCCCATTTCCTGAGTCCTAGGCACAGGGACTTGTTAAGTCCTTGAATGCAAATGCACTGCTTTAACAACCTCAGGAGATGCAAGCTCATTGTCCCACTTTAATGACACACAACTGAAGCTGTGGTCTGTCTGATCCCAAAACCTGTGCTGCAATTCTTGGTGTGACAAGGCCTGGCTCGGGGCTCTCTCCTTCCTAAAGCCTAAGCCCACTGCACAGCGCCAGGCACACAGCAAGCACCAGACAGCATGTCCCAGTGTCACAGTCCAGGTGGACACTGCACTCAGCCTCACTGAGACCTGTGTAGGAATGTAGAAAGGGGTAGGGGAAGGCAAGCCATGAGCATGGCCTCTCACATGGTCTTGACCTTTGCAGGGCTGAACCCCTACCCTGGCATCCTGGTGAACAGCAAGTTCTACAAACTGGTGAAGGATGGATACCAAATGGCCCAGCCTGCGTTCGCCCCAAAGAACATGTGAGCCAAAGGGTCCCAGGGAGGGAAGAGGATACCCAGGCTCTGGCTGTCCAATGTTCCAGGGCCAGGCTTCATCTCTCCAACCGTGGACTCCCAAATAGCCCCCTTTTATAGAATTCAGGGTTTCCACTGGTTTCCCAGGTAGCACGAGAGATGTTCCGAGAAGAAAGCTCTTAACTGGGGCTGGTCCTGGACTCATATAGACTTTTAACTCAGATTATTATTACAGTGACCTCATGTGTCAAAATGGGGTTAATGAAAGTACTCTTCTCCAAAGGTTACTGTAGAGATTAAATGATAATGCATGCCAAGGTTTATACTAAACTCGCTTTCGACTAGGTCTGCAGACCTCTCTGCTGAGTAGGTCTTTCTGAGGGTCGGGGGTAATGGTCCCCAGACCTGGAGAGCCATACGTGGGCAACCTCTGTCCTGTCTCTAGATACAGCATCATGCAGGCCTGCTGGGCCCTGGAGCCCACCCACAGACCCACCTTCCAGCAGATTTGCTTCCTCCTTCAGGAGCAGGCCCAAGTGAACAGGAGAGAACGGGTGAGTGGGGCGAGGCTCAGGGTGGGGGGCTCGTTAAGCAGACTGGACCGGGCCTGATGGATCAGAACCAACGGTTCCTGGTCTCTTCCACCCTCAGGACTATGCCAATCTGCCCAGCAGCAGCAGTAGCAGTGAGCCCGAGGAAGAGAGCTCAAGTGAGCACCTGGCCTGCTGTGAGCAAGGGGACATTGCCCAGCCCTTGCTGCAGCCCAACAACTACCAGTTCTGCTAAGGAGGTGACGGCAAGGAGCACTGCTCTCCGCTCCTCCAAGCTTCAACTCCTCCATGGATGGGGCAACATGGGGAGAACATACAAACTCTGCCCTTGGTCATTTCACTCAACAGCTCGGCCCAACTCTGAAACTTGGGAAGGTGAGGGATCCAGGGAGGTCAGAGAGGACCCCACTGCCCAAGCCTGGGCCATCACTGCCAGTCAAGGGCTAGGGGCTGAGCCCCGCCCTCCCTCCCCCACTGTCCTCGTGGTGTTGGCCCCATGTTTGCTGTGCCAACTGGCAGAACTCCCAGCTCACTCTCTCAACCTTGTTCCCACTTCCAAGACCTCCTTCCCTAATGCCTTTGTGTCTCAACAGAAATGGACTGATTTTATGCCTATGAAGTTCCCAGGAGCTGCCCTGGTATTGAGAAAACAAGGCTCCTTGGGGGCTAGACAAACTGGCAGAGAAGTAGGATCCCCTGAGAGGAGCAGCAGAAGTGGACAGGTGCTCACACTCAGCTCAGGCCCCTTGGAGCAGGGTGGCTCCTTTGTAAGAATCTAACAGGACCTAGTCTCTGCCCTATATCCTCCTTCACGCCACAGCCCCACCCCACCCCACCCTGGATCTGGTACTGCTATAATGAGCCAAGTGGCAGCTAAACGTTAGGGGTGTTCTGCCCAGGCCCTTGTCATTCTGGGTTAGAAGGTAGGGGGCCTTGTCATGTGGCTGGCCACACCAAGCAAGAAGCATGCACCCCCCCAAGCTGACTCATCGTTACTAACAGTCACGCTGTGGGACGTCTTCTATACACATTAAACTAACAGCATTAACTCAGCTGGCCTCTGGTTCTTTGTGCCACACAAGCGCCTGCAAATTCCCTAGGACTTCCTTGCATCCTCCTTCACGTGAGGGGAGAGGCCAAGCACTTCTGGAGCTCGACCACACTGTGCCCCACACAACGAGCATGGAATTGACTCTTGCTTCACCAAAACCAGGTAATTTAATAAACTTTATTCTTCTCAGGGAAAGAGGGAGGGGAAAAAAGCCACCTACTCCACTCCTCTCAATAAATTAAGTAATTCATGGCCAATTCCCAGGCCCTAAGCAAACCTTGGGCACTTGAGCCAGTCCTGCTGTTTCCTTATGGCCCAGTCTGCTTCCCCTTCACAGAAGGGACTTTATCCTACTGCTGCCAGGGTATGTCATGACCACAGGCCACATCCCCTCTGTGGAGAGGGTCCCAGGGCCCAGAGAGGATGTCAGGTGCAGCAGCAGTGGCCAGGGAAAGGAGGAAGGGGATTCTTTTCTTCAAAGCTCAGGGCAGAGAGGACAGTCCTGGAAGAGAGCTGTGGCTGACTGTTCCTCCCTCCTCAGCTTCCCCAGATGTGGGTGCGAGAAGAGCAGGAAGGAAGTGCATTCCTCCTTTGGGGAGAATCAAGAGCCCAAAGGTACCCCTAGAACTAATGAGGCCACCAAGGCCCCTGTCAAAGGCAACAGGCTAAGGAATTCGTGGGGCTGAAACCAGCATTGCACAGGGTGGAAGAGACCTCGGCCGCCTTCCCACCCCATGCCAGGGCTCCTGCCTTAGCCCACCCCCACTTCCACCTGGACCTGCAGCAGGCCCCAGGGGAGCCACCACCTGCCCCTCAGCCTCCCGTCCCTCCGTTAAGCATCCCACATCCTCCAAGTGCTCTCAGGACCAGGAAGCAGTTTCCTGATATCACTCCTGACCCCCAGAGGTGAGAACCAAGGACTCTGGGCCCCACCATGCTCAGGAAATGGAAGCTCTTTGGTCAGTCCCAGCAGTCAGAGGCCCCATGGGTGACCATGTCTATAGGTCCCCTGGATAGCTGTGCCTTAGGCAAGGGCCTTACTATGGCTTGAGAGAGACGGTGCAGTCACTGTACAACAGCCTGGCTTATTCTGTCACCACAGCCACCTCCTCTTCCTCACCCTCCTCCTCTGTCTCTGTCTTGATCTGAGCAACCCCAAGGCGGTAGAGGTTGTCACGAATGACCACCTCGCCAGGCTGGCACGTCTGCACAATGTCGTGGATTTGCCGGTTGACGATCTCACGGCTGGTGAGGAAGTCCATGAGGCGGTTATAGAGGTAATAGTGGGTGGCATTGTCAAAGGCAATGGGCCGCCGGCGGACACTGCTTGGTTTGCTGTCCACGATGGAGGCCAGGATGGCTGTGTAGGGTGCCAATTCAGGGCACAGGGCCAAAGAGTGGTGCCCAGTGCTGGGGTCACCAGGACTGGGCTGTCCTGCATGAACAATGCGCCGTGTGGCAGTCTTGGTGACAGGGTGCTGGACAGAGTGCTCAGCTTCTGTCATGTCCACAGTATAGTGCTGGTCCAAGAGCTCTGGGCAGGACACGCTCTAGAAGAGAGATGGGAAGCCGCTCTGACAAGAGGGAATGACTAAGGTAGAACCCGTGTGGTGGATGAGAACGAACTCTGTGGGCTCAGCTGGCCCTGTTTAAATGCTAGTGTCATCATGCACTGTATCTCCTGGGCCAGGCCACCTGCCTACTGCTCTGTGCCTCCCTTTCGTGTGAGAACAGGGACGGTAACTGTGGCCACCTCCCAGAGCAGGTGTTGGATTACTTGAGCTGCTATTACTGCACCTAGTCAATTCAGGGTGGGGACTGCAGGGGGGCAGAAGGATCTGGCTCTGACTGAGGTTAAGACACCTTTCTAGAGTCCCTAGCACAAGTTCACAGAGCCAGTGAGCCCCAGGGAGTGATGACAATAATGTCCCCTCCAAGGCAACACCAGAGGTCTTCACCTCTGACAGTGCATCCTAGCCAGGGCACTCACCTCCCTTCCTCCTAATTATCAGTCTAACATCTCTTCCAGCAAAGGCCAAAGGTTACATGCCTCTGGTAAGAAACAGCACCTGGTACAACGTACCAAGACACAGAGACAAAGGCTCTGCCACTAATCTGCCGTGTGACTCTGGACAAGTCCACTTCCCCCTCTGGGCCTTAGTTACCCCTTTTAATAAAAGGAAAGGGTTGCATACGTCAGTATTTTCTAAACCACTGTGCCTCAAGATCATAACTGGCATGCCATGTGGTATATTCATGGCCAAATCTAAGGGTGCATTAAACTGTACTCCAGAGCTGGATAGGGCCTTTAACATGTCAGCTTGCAGAGTGACTCTCAAAGGTGGCAATTTTCTAGGCTTATCTGGAAGGCAACCCTTTTAACACAGATACCTATGTCTGAGATACCCTGGGCACATTATATAACATGCTATGGCCTCATACACAAGCGTGTGCGGGTTGGTCAGTAAAAATTCATGGAGTAAATGCTGGTTCCAAAGCACCAAGACAAAACACTGGTGGAGCAAAAATGAATGCTAAGGGGGCCCCCCAAAGAACCAGAGGGGTGAGACACGGTCAGCCTGAGGAATATATTCCAGTTCCTCAAGAGGCAACTCACCACAGGCGGCTCCATGGGGCTTGAGAAACAGCCCTGGTTTCTCCCCCACATCTGGTTGGTCAGCTCTGGGTAGCAGAGGTCAGCACACAGGGCCACTGGTGTGGCCATATCTACCACGTAGACAGGTGGCCAATGGCGGGAGGAAGCAAGCAGATCCACGTGGTCTCGGGCACTCTCACCCCGCACAAGGTACTTGGAGCCACAGACCACCTGGGAGATGAAAGGCCAGTGCAGGGATAAGCAGCCAATCCACAGACAGACCATGTACACAGCCCTCACGCACTCCTTCCCAGGAAGACGAACAATCAGGCTCATGACTGAAGCCATGGCCATCCTGCCAGAGCCCATGACATTCTGCTCCCCTCCTACTTCCGTCCCTCAATGAAGTTGCTATCTCATCCTTGCCCTCCTGGGAGAAGAGCTAAAACATGCTATCTTCAACTTAGGCTGAAAGGCACCTCAGACCATCTCCTCTAAACCCTACTCCCTCCGCATCGCCCTACCAAGCATTACCTACTGGTTACCAAGACTAGCTAGCACCAGCAGCTAAGAGCTGGTTAAAAATGGAGATTCTTGGGCCCCAACCCAACCATAAGGAATGAGGATCTCTGGAGTGAGGTCTAAGCATCTGTATTGCGCGCAAGCTTCCCACCAGACCCTGTTGTGCTTGCTTCCCAGAGGGGAACCCCTGATGTGGTCTGGTAACCAACCCCACTGACAGGGCCCCTAAGCACCCTTCCACTGCTGGACAGCTCTGGGTATGCTGGAGAATTCTGCCTTCTCACCCACTTTGCTGGCACCTCCAAGTGATGCCACTCCCAGCACAGCCCCAAAACCTGTAAGCTCTCTCACCCCTGTGCTGTCAATGGCTCCTCATCATGATCCCCAAGTGAATGAATATAACCCTCCCAAGCAGGCTTTGATCTGCCCAGGGTAGAGGCATCAAGCACCTCCCCTTAGACATAGCTTCTGTTAGAGCTGATAACCTGGTTCTGTTTCTACAGCCAGCTCACCCTGCTGACTCACACACCTCAGCAAACTGAAGGCTCTGCTAAGCCTAAGCCATTCGGTACTTAAGTGGGCTTTCTGTCCCAGTATCCTCCTGGGCCCACTCTGCCATCGAGTACACAATCTGTCCCAGAGCTAACCCAGTGTGCCACACTATCCACACCCTTCCACAGAAATGTGGAGTGATCTTCCTAAAAACAAAATCAGACCATGTCACCGCCCCCATTCAAAACTGTCCAAAAGGTCCCTCATCTTCTCAGAATAAAATCCAAACTGTTACTTTGGTCTAGAAAACTCTACATGATCTGGCCTCTGGGGAGCCTTCCAACCTCCCTCCTCCTCCTGGCTCACTATGCTTCCCCACCCAGGGCCTCAGTGGTCACTCCTTCCCCGGCTCACAACTGGGGCTGTTCCCTATCCTTCAGGTCACAGACTTCTCTGGCTACCTTCTAGACAGCAGTTTCCTCTCTTACTTTCTATCTCAGGCCCTTTTCTGGTTCCTTCAGAGCTACCATCACAAGCTGTGGTGACCTTATTTCCCCACTAAAGCATGTGGTTAACTAGGGAGGAATGACACCTTTGTTGCTCACCTTTGTACCCTTCACAGATGATGCAGGGCCCAGCACAGGGTAGGGTGCTTAATAAACACTCACTGATGGAACACTCAGGCTCCCTCCTAGCCCAAGGAGTGGCACCTGACCTATGGGCAGCCACTCCCAGAGGCTGCCCAGCGACCTAAGTCTAACACTGGAAGAAGGAGCTGGATCAATCTGACTCTCTGTGCGGGCAGTCTGACATTACCAAATCCACCCCAAGTTCCCCCGTTATCCTTTTACCTGATGGGGGCACACCTTGTAGATTTTACCGCCTGTGAAATGAGGTGGGGGCTGTCTAGCTCTGGCTCCATTCTGTACAGATTCGTAGAGGGCCAATAAGGAGAAGCAGAGCTGGTCCTGGGACAGAAGGACAAGATCAACAACACAGGGGTGAATGCTAAGGGACCAGGTCTGGTACTCAGCATCAACTGCTCACTTCAATACTCAAAGCAAAAGAGTAAACTGCCAGGGCCAGAGTGGGCCTTGGAGCCTCACCAGCCCAACCTCCTCTAGGTGTAGGTGGGCAACTAGACACCCCAGAAGCATACGGTCACAAACACAGCCAACCAGACTGGTCAAGCTGACAGACTCTGCGGCCTAAGTAAGTCCTTTTACTGTTTATACGGTAGAGAAATCTTCAAAGAGGAAGATTTGAATCTCAACTTGAAGGAAGCACGATATCTTCAACAGCAGAGAAATATGAGGGAAAGTAAAGAATGTATGGATAAAAAACATATACAGGCCGGGCGCGGCGGCTCACGCCTGTAATCCTAGCACTCTGGGAGGCCAAGGCGAGCGGATTGTTTGAGCTCAGGAGTTCGAAACTAGCCTGAGCAAGAGCGAGACCCCGTCTCTACTAAAAACAGAAAGAAATTAATCGGACAACTAAAAATATATAGAAAAAATTAGCCGGGCATGGTGGCGCATGCCTGTAGTCCCAGCTACTTAGGAGGCTGAGGCAGGAGGATTGCTTGAGCCCAGGAGTTTGAGGTTGCTGTGAGCTAGGCTGACGCCACGGCACTCTAGCCCGGGCAACAGAGTGAGACTCTGTCTCAAAAAAAAAAAACAAAAAAACATATACAGACAGACACTCTGTATGTAATAGCAGCCATTTTCTAAGAGCTTGGACAGGTGATAACCAGACACTGTGTAAAGTGCACTCCTTATAACCCCCTCATGAGGCTGGTATTTTCCATTTTACAAATGAGGAAAATGAAGCTCAAAATAAGGTAGTTCCAAGGTCACACACAGTGAGGGAGTGTCCAGCCCACCTTCCACAGGAGGAGCTGACTGGAGGCCAGGCCTCACATGCATGTCACCATCTGGCTGCTGACCACCTCCTAGGCCCGATGCCAGCACCCTATGGCAGGTGCCCAGTCACAGGTGTGCATGCCCTTGCCCAGAAAAGCAGACCCACAGGCCTGTTCCCAAAGCCCCGATCTCCACCACTGCCCCCAGTACTCACCTTGGAGTCTTCTGTCCGAAAGGGGATGTCACACTGCCTCAGCAGGTACCGCAGCTCCTGCTCACTGTAGGAGCCGATCTCCTCAAGCTTACAGGTGCCCTCTTGGAGCAGCCTCACCAAGGCGCTGCCACTGCCTGCAAGAGAAACAGTGCCGATGGGGCCGGTGCTGCCGCCAGCCGACAAAGGCCTTGGTAGGCCCTGACCCGTGAGGATGAGAACAGGGGTAGGCTGCACTCAGCTCTACCCTGGGAGCTGGCAGAAGAGGGACTCAAGGCAGGTCTATGACTTCTGCAGATACTTGGTCTCTCAGAACTGGCCGTCTGCCCTGGAACATCTCAGTGAGATATCCTGCAGACAGCCACTGCAAAGAATCTTAAAATGAGTCAGCTGTTAATCCAAATTCTTCTAAGGTTTCTCAGAACCAAGATCTCAGATGCTTATCACACTGCAACAATAAGAGGAGCAAGAGCTCTCATTTTAAAAATGCTCTATACATTATGCTCCTGAACCTGACTAAATCGAGAGAACTATGTGGGGGCCTCAATGTAGCAAGTATGAGGTGGGACCTCAATATCTAATGTTAGGAAGCACCAGATGAGAACCAGTGAATCACAACACATTAAGTACTCATGAAGTCAATTTAGCAGGTCATATTCAGAATTTTTAAAATAAAACAGAAAATAAAAAGTGTATGGCACTTGGTAAAGAAAAGTACTGTTGTGTGAAAGTTGTTTCAATTATAGATATACACGTGCACATGTATGGATATCATTCTGGGTCATGATGCAAAACGTATTTCTTACTGTGAGTTGCAATTAAAAAAAAAAGAGTAGAAGGCTCTCACTCTACCTGTATTAGCTCACTTAATCTTCACCACCACCTAGGAGGTGGATAATCATTTTCATGGCCTCTTTGTAAATGAAGTAACAGAGGCTCAGGGCAATGAAGGGATTTTCCAGAAGGCGTCACACAGCTACTAAGTGGCATAGCTGGGAATCAAACTCAAGTTATTAGAAAAACTATGCTCCTAATAGCCAGTCCAGGGCTTCTCAACGTATAACACAAAAACCATCTGCAAAACCATCTGTAAGACCCATTTTGAAGGCAAATTCCTTGGCGTCCCCCTGCTCTTTCTCAATGAAAATCTCTGAGGTTGGAGCCTTATCATCAGCACTTTTTGCAGGATTTCCCTACTCAGCATATCAAGTGCATTCCAGGCTAACAGTGAGCTGTGTGTCCCTCTATGGGATTTTGTCATAGGCTGTTATCTTTCTAGAAGTCCTCTAGGTGTGCCTGTCTTGCTGTAGACAATGTCCCAGACTCTCGGCTGAGCCCTTCCCTGACCCCAGTCAGCCAACAGGTGGCCTTACCAGGTACTGGCTGCACATCCAGGTTTTTGTCTTTCTCGGTGTTGACGACCACAGCTCCTCTCATGAGTGGTGGGAAGAAAGGGGCAATAACAGAGGCATCGAACTTGGTGATAGGGATGCTGGCAGGAAACGCCACCTGCTCAATCACCTCTGTTTCCATCGTGGCCCAAAAGTCCTCCACGTTTACCTCACTAGAGCCCAAGAATTCAGGCCAGGTGAACTAAAAGGTCAGGATAAAGAAGGTCAAACTGCAGGAGGCACAGAATATTAGCAACACAATAGTCTTCACCCCTGCATTACACACACAGGGAAAGCAAGGCTCAGCAAAGGGAAGGAAGGAGTCTGATGGTCATGCACCGCCGAGGGTGCCCCTGAATTTGACAACTTTGTACCCAACTGCCCTTTGGCCACGTTTCTTTCTCCCACACCACAGTACTCTCCCAGACGTGAGTAGCTCCTCAGTCCCTTCTGCCTGTACACCTTTATTCATGTCATTTGCCCTGTCTTGCAAGCAAAGGGGAGCTACCATCTGAGTACCTGTTATGCATCAGATATTTTCTAATTCGTTGCTAAAAAACAACTCTGGGGGATGTCTGAGGTGAGACTACTAGAGTAAGGGACAGAATAAGAATGGGAACATAAGTCTAGTTCAAAAGCCCAAGTCATTACTCCCTATAAGTGGCTGGCAAGAATAATCGGAATTCTATTTAGTGAAATTCCAGCTGTTTTCCAAGGCCCTGTGGATTCCTCACCTCCACTGGAAAGTACCCCCAGACCCTGTCATCACGGCTATTTCCTCTACCTGATGAAGCACTGACTTATCTATTATTGGCATCTAGCACTGTTAATTGATTTTTTTTCTTGAAATGTTCTCTTATATGGTCCTCAACATGTAACCCTGATCCTACTACCTTGATCAGAGCCATATGGGTTACCTATAAGAAATGTAGGCTGGGCACAGTGCCTCGTACCTGTAATCCTAGCACTTTGAGAGGCCGAGGTGGGAGGATTGCTTGAGGCCAGGCGTTCAAGACCAGCCTGAGCAACACAGCAAGACCCCATCTCTAAAAAAGTAAAAATTTTTTAAAAAATTTAAAAAATAAAAAATTAGCCAAATACCTGCGCCACATCTTAATCTGTATGAACTAAATCCCTAATTTTGCATTTTGAAAAGTTTCCCTAGGTAAATGGTTCTCAAAGGGTGGTCCCTGGGCAAGCAGCATGAGCATCACATGAAAACTTGTTAGAATGCTAATTCTTGGCCCCCCTCTAGATCTTCTGAGTCATATGACTCTTAGCGGTGGATCACTAGGCTCGTGTGTTGATGAAGAATGCAGCTAGCTACGAGAATTAAAAAAAAAAAAAAAAAAAATAGATCTTCTGAGTCAGAAGAGTCAGAAGAGTAGGACCCAGCAAGCCCTCCACTTTACAAAGTGTGAGAACTGCTGCCCTATGTCATTCTCATGCCCACTAAAGTCTGAGAACCACCACTCCCCAAAAAGCCATCTCCCTGCACCTCATTCCTCCGTGTTCTCCACCTCACAGTGTGCTCAGTGCATGCTGTGAGCAAATGGCACACCTGAGGAAATGGGGCCACTGAGCCCATCCTCTCCACCAGGAGCAAGGGGACAGGAAATGCCATCGGAGCATGCAAACTGACCAGAAGGGCCTCTTCTCTACAGTCCCTGAGGCGAGAGGCCCACAAGTCTCCCCATGGACAACACCATAGTTAAGTTTTGTTCTATAACTTCCTGTTTTAGTTCACAGACTTTAGGATACCCCTCCCTCCACATGCACCACATCACTCTCCACACACAAAAGAAGAGAAAATAAAGTCCAGGTCTGTAAGAAAGAAGTCCCCAGTACCAGAGAAGGGAAGAAACATGTAAAAGAGTGAATAGAACGCTAACTCCAACCTGTGACAGAGGAGCCTTGATTGGGACAAGTCAGGTGCCAAGCAGGACTAGGAGATGTGACCTTTGCAGGAAGGCAGGCCTCTGTCTATTCTGGAAACCATAAACTCACTAAGGCCAGATGGGATTAGAAAAACCAGAGCTTGGAGTCCCAGGAGACGCTGGTGAGCATGGCAGTGCTTAGGAGCACAGGCTCTGGAGTCAGCCAGCCAGACCAAGCAAAGTCAATCTCAACCTCACCCCTCCCTGGTGGGCTTGGGCAAGCCCCCTGGGCCTCAGTGCCTATCTAGAAAAACCTCACAGGGTTGTGGTGAGAATGAGTCATACAGTAAAGCACTGAGCACAGAGTAAAAATGTGGTGGTGTAAGTAATAAAATGCTCCACCTTAGCTGCATTATTAATATGATCATTAATAATGGTAAGCAGATGTGAATGAGTCTAGAAATAGCCTCTTGGTGAGATAACACACAAAAGAAAAAAGGTTTTTTTTTGTTTGTTTGTTAATTGGGAAGAAAAGACAGGACTGCACATTAAACCCCTACTATGTTTAGCTGGCCATGCCAATATACATGAAAGCAGTTCTTCGGAGAGGTTCACGCCTGCCCCAGCAGTGAGCACCTGAGATGCAGGCCCAGTGCCTACAGTCACTTCACATCCCGTCCTCTTGTTTACTATGACAGAGTACGGAGACAGCAACTTCACACCCCTGTGCAACTACTAGCATAATCAAAGGGCACTCCAGGCCTGCAGAGTGCAGACCAGACCTCTTGGCACAATCGTGGATTTTTTCTTCCTAATTCTATAGAAGGTTATGGAAGATTCCCTACTATTCTCAGTTTGTAAGAGTTTTATTGTAAATGGGTGATGAATCATATTGAAGGCTTTTTCTTTTTTATACCTAATGAAGTAATCATATGGGTTTTCTCCTCTGATCTGTTAAGTAGTGAATTACATTAACATATTTCCTGCTGTTGAAACAACCTTGCTTTCAAACTAGGATAAACTTGGTCACGATGTCTTACTTTTACTCACTGTTCGGTCTGATTTGCTATTAACCTATTCAGGGCTTTGGTATTTATATTCATTAGTACAATCAGCCCCAATTTCTTCTGTTATATTAAATGTCTGGTTTTGTTTTCAAGTTCTCTGGCCTTAATACAACGAACTGGGGAAATACACTCACTTTTGCTATTCTTCTATGATTAGAATCTTACATTTCTTGGATATTTGCTGTAATTGATCCATAAAGCCATCTTTATTTGGCAGTTATCTTTGTGTGAAAACTTTTTAGTTCAGAACCTAAGTCAGCTCAGGTCACTCTTTTTCTCCAATCCCATTTTGCTCTGTGTAAGTACTTAAAATGAACCTATCAACCCTACATTGGGTCCAGCCTCCCCGCAGCCTCTGGACCTAACAGAACGCATCCTACCGCTCCCGCCATCACCCACACACTCCAGCCACACTGGTCTCGTTGCTGCTCCTCAATCATGCCTAGCAAGCCTGCCTCAGACCGTTCTTGCTGCTCCCTCTGCCTGGAATGTTCCTCCCCAAAGCTGTATGGGCTGCAGCTCTCTACTCAAATGCCACTGTGTGAGAGAACTTCCCGACTGCCCTCTATAAAACAGGAACGCCCTTTTCCACCACACTGCTCTCTTCTCCTCACCCAGCTTCACCGTGCTTCACAGCACTTATTACTCCCTGACAAATATGTGTTTCCTGTCTCCCCCAAACCAGAATGTGAGTTCCATAAGGAGAGAAACTTTGGGGTTTTTTACTGCTATCTCCCAGGTATCTAAAAAGTACATTTAATCATGCTCAATACATTTGTTGGATAAGTAACTGAATAAGCAAATGCCTCTATCTCCACATGGCTTTTCTTAGATGAAACCCTGGGCTATGGTAGGAAAAAGCCACTCGCCTTACCTGGATAGGACTGGAGCTATCTACCCCTGGGGATTCCATGCAGGAAGGTGGCTGCCACAATGAGATGAGAGTTCTGAAGGTCACCCACAGTGGCTGAGAGACACTCACCTCCACACTCTTCAGTGCCAGCACGTTCTCTTCACTCCTCTGAGCCATTTCCACTTTGGGGGCCACACCACAGATACCACAGATCATGTCGTTGTAGTCTCGGACAGTGAGGCACTCAAAAGCCCAATAACCATTGCACAGCAGCTCCTGCAGCTGATTCAGCTCCTCTGAGGTCAGGGTCTTCTCTGGAAAGAGAGCAAGAGCACTGAGAAGGTCAAAGAAAATGACCCTGAAGCCACTAGGGATGAGCCAGTGGCCCGTAAGAACAGCCATTCTGCAAGACCGATTATCCTCTAGAAACACCCAAGAGTACTAACTACTCCAAGGGTCAGGCACCAGGCCTTCCAGTGCTCAGATGGGCAATTCCAACCAGAGTCATAGCTGCCTTATACTAAGTATCCACTAGGTATTAGATGCTGTGCTGAGAGCGTTGAATACCTATCTAATTCTCACATGAATTTAATTCTTTATGAATCAGAAGCTATTACTATCCCCATTTTATAAATGGAGAAACAGAGGCTCAGAGAATAATTTGCTTAAAATCACACTGCCACTAAGTGGCACAGCCAAGACTCAGGCCCGTGTGACTCTAGCACCTTCACTCTATTCTATCTGTCCTCATAGCAAGCAAGGTACAGGGGGACTGAAGCCTGTAGGAATGGGGTGGGAAAAGCACAAACAGAAGTAGAGAGAGCAAGGTGAAAAAATTTCTAGACAATAAGGAGGCAGGACCCCACACTCAGGTCTCAGCACAAACCTGGGGACTGGTAGTAGACAGCCAGGAGCTGTGGATTCAGAATGAGTCTGACATGCAGTGGGGCTACATCTACCTACGACTAAACAATGTGCTTCTAAAGTCAGGTATAATCCCTTGCTATGGGCCCCTGAATACATGGAAAGACTCATGCTTTCCAAAGTTACTTTGGCAATTGTAAAAATTCAAAAGGAAGCATGCATTAGGAAGTCAAAAACACTTCCTTTTCAAAACGTCAGACTCTTCTCCAAAATGACTCAACCAAAGTCCATCATAAAAATTCTCAGGGAGCTTAGGCCTACCCTTGGGAAAGAGACAAAGACAACCTTTACCTGTCTGCTCCTGCACCGACTTCAGAACAACACTGACAGACACCCTGGGGTCCTCTCCCAGCTTGATCTGGTTTCTGATTGCAAAAAGCAAGTCCAAGCTTACTAGCAACTTGTTTCCCACATTAAAGAGACCTATAGGTTAAAAAGAGGCAACAAGGTAATCCATGTAACATCATACACAATGGCAAAATGTAGAACACAAACTAGCCAGGTGGTGGTGCATGCCTGTAGTCACAGTTACATGGGAGGACTGCCTGAGCCCAGTAGTTCAAGACCAGCCTGAGAAAAGTAGTGAGACTCTGTCTCTTAAAAAATAAACAAACTAAATGCCCACCAATAGGAGTACAGTTAATTATATTATGGTGCATTCATAAAATAGAAAACTAGTTATCATTAAAAGGAACAAAGTGGTTGCTAAATTGACCAAAGTTATTAAAAAAAATAAAGTGGACATAACTGTTCTGACACAAAGTTGTCCATAATACATCATCAAATGAAAAAAGCAAATAATAAAATATGTACAGATTTCTTCTCCTCTCCCCCAATAAAAGAGAAACACTTCTCTACCACCCAGAGTTCAGTCCTCAGGATCAAAGGTGTCACTCTTCCTCTACACCTCATACAACTGCATCTGGGGAACCACCCGGAGCATCATCTAGCCCAGGAATGGGCAGGGGATATAATAAAAGCTATAAAATCACCCCTACATCAAATCCTAGAATTAAAAAATCAGAAGAATGGGCCGGGCACGGTGGCTCACGCCTGTAATCCTAGCACTTTGGGAGGTCGAGGCGGGCGGATTATTTGAGCTCAGGAGTTTGAGACCAAACCGAGCAAGAGCGAGACCTCGTCTCTACTAAAAATAGAAAGAGATGAATCGGACAACTAAAAATATATGGAAAAAATTAGCCGGGTATGGTGGCACGTGCCTGTAGTCCCAGCTACTCGGGAGGCTGAGGCAGTAGGATCGCTTGAGCCCAGGAGTTTGAGGTTGCTGTGAGCTAGGATGACG